TTCCAAATTATGTGCAAGGCTGAAAACCTCACTGGGCAGTGGTGGCTCAGACCTTTATTCCCAGCACTCGGGAGGCAGAGACAGGCAGATCGCTGTGAGTTCGAGGCCAGTCTGGTCTACACAGCAAGTTCCAGGACAGCCAGGGCTATACAGTGAAACCCTGTCTTGAAACCACCCCCCACACTCCCCTCCCCCAGAGAGAGAGAGAGAGAGAGAGAGAGAGAGAGAGAGAGAGAAACTGAAAAGCTCAAAGCAATGCCCAAACTGAAGAGCGTGTTTACAGGGACATGCTCCAGAAGACGTTTGTTATTTTTAACTCATCAATTCTTTCTAAAATTGATACTCATTCTCAATGTAATCCTACATCAAAAAATGCAAGTAGGCATTTTTGAATAATTTGACAAGCTGCTTTTCAATTTTATATAAAAATGCAAGCAATCTAAATAACCACTATACAAATTTTGAAAGAAAGAGGTCTGACATGACCTGATTTCAAGATTTAGTACATGATATAGTAATAATAATAATTAATTAATTTTAAAAACTATGTGGTTGCAAGAGAAAGAAAGCCATACATGCCAACAACGTACACATGAGTATTCACAAAAGCTGCACTCAAAACTGAAGGAACCCAGACATCCATCAATAGGCAAACAGATAACATTACTGCAACCACACAGTGGGCACTGCCAGTACCAGCTAAGGATCCAACCACACAGAGGGCACTGCTCAGAGCCAACTAAGGAAGCAACCACACAGTGGGCACTGCTCAGAGCCAACTAAGGAAGCAACCACACAGTGGGCACTTTTCAGAACCACCTAAGGAAACAACCACACAGTGGGCACTGCTCAGAGCCAACTAAGGAAACAACCACACAGTGGGCACTGCTCTGAACCAGCTAACTGGTCCTTCATATGTAATTCTATGTAAGCCTAACCTCAGATCAAAAAAGCTTCTTACCACTGTGTCTGACTGCTCTGGAAGCTTCTATGATTCTTACATTCTAGTAAAATACTTCTGGTTCCTCTACAAGCAAAAACTAAAAAGAACTAATAGGGAATCTATTGGTTGGCCTCTATATAACCACGAAGTTATTGCAAGCCTGCCAGGTTCCAGAAAATTAAAAACAGAAAGAAAAAGTACTAAGGAGATTTAAGATGAAAGAGTCCCTTTGGTCCACAATGTAATGATTCTAACTCTACTCCTGACCATCACAAATGCTGGAACTATTCCTCAAAGCTCAGTCAGGAGCAGGAAACACGCAGAAAGCTCTGCTAGTTTTTATTGTGGGGAGCTCTCAGGGGAGCATCATTTAGTTTCCTGAGGAAAGATGTTTTTCTTCTTAAGTTTCAAAAAGCAGTAAACATTTTACTTGATTTATAACATTAGGCATAATTGTTTTTTAAATGCACCTTCATGTTGATCCTGAATTTAAAAAAAAAAAAAAAAAAAAAAAAAAAAAAAAAAAAAAAAAAACGGTATCTGAAAGCATGTAAAACTCAGGCTGTGGGGCCACTGAGATGGTTCAGGGAAGAAGCCGGGTTCAGTCTCCAGAGCCCACATGGTGACGGAAGACAAGCCGGTCCCAACGGTGGCCCACACTCACACAGACACATGCACACAGGCAAATAAATACTGTAAAAACAAAACAAAACAAAAACCTCAGGCTGTGGGCACAACTCAGTGGCACAGACTCTCACTTCTGTGAGACCCCAAGTTTGATCCCCACAACCACAAAAAAAAAACAAACCCACTAACATTGTAAAAACCACAGTCTGTAACACAGGCAATAGATGAGGACACTTACAGAGAGAAGACAGTGTCAGCAATCTTCAAGCTCAGTGACCACAGAAACAGGCATCGTGCACAGCACATACACATGGGTACATCCGAGTCCATGTGCCACACCATCTAATTTATACCAGGATGTTTGAGGTCTGCCTGGCGCACCAGGAGGGGTGCCAGATCTCCTTACAGATGGTCGTGAGCCACCATGTAATAATACAATTATCATACTCGGGGCTTCCAGTTAAGCTCCACAGGGCAGTCACACTCCCAGGCATTTATAGGCTCCATCACTTTCTTCCACCTCCAACCTCTCTCTCTCCTTCCTTGGCTCCTCCCATCTTGCTCCACTGGAGCCACAGCACTCTGTCTTCTGAATTCCCAGCGCTGTTTTCTGTGGTGTCTGTGGCGCTACACAGTTTCTATACTACTGTCTCTATTTAAGCACAATAGACTCCAATCTACATAGTAGAAAGGGAGGCCCCCACACTTCCTTGCATGCCTTAGAGTGCCGAGAACCTGGAACTTCACACCCACTACTTAAGGTGCCTAGAGTACAGGGGAAAATGTTCTCAACTGGAGCAGTGACTCGGTGGTAAAGGCCACCCGCTGCTGGTGCAGAGGAACCAGGTTCGGGTCCCAGCACCCACACGGTGGCTCACTATGGTCTGTAGCTCCAGTTCCAGGGGACTCTGCCTGCACCAAGCACACATGTATGTAGTACACTCATGTACGTGCAGGCAAAAAAACACTCATACACATAAAATGAAAATGCATAAGTCATAAAAAGGAAAGAGAAGAGGAAAACTCAAACAGCCTGAGGGCCTTGCAATGACCAGTGCGTGACACCTACCCTCCGTCTAGTAAGAGGGAAAGGCCCAGACGGATGCAATGCTGGTGTTAGCCGTGGAGTTTCAGCATGCTGGTGTGATAGGCGCCTCTTGTCTGTTGAATAGCTCTGATTCTATAAGCTGCGTATCAGGAAACCAAACATCTCAATGACTAAAAAGGCTTCAAGAATGTTATACGAAGAATCCTCTCATCTCGTTATAGTTCTTAGACAAAAACTGTAACTCACACCCCACCCAAACAAAAATCTGACCTCAAAAAGGAAAAGCAAATTTTTCCCTAATCTTTACAAAGTTGGTCGTCTTCTTGTTGCCTCCACCTCCCTTTTTTTTTCTTGGTTTTTCAAGCAGGGTTGAACCTGTCCTAGAACTCACTTTGTAGACAAGGCTGGCCTCAAACTCACAGAGAGATACACCTGCCTCTGCCCTGCCCTGCCAAGTTCTGGGATTTTTTTTTTTTGGGGGGGGGGGTGAAACAGGGTTTCTCTGTGGCTTTGGAGGCTGTCCTGGAACTCGCTCTGGAGACCAGGCTGGTCTCGAACTCCTCCGACTGCCTCTGCCTCCCGAGTGCTGGGATCAAAGGCGTGTGCCACCACCACCTAGCTTCTTCTCGCTATCTTTTTTTTCTTCTTGCTATCTTAAACAGACTTACCCAACCCAGCAGCTTACATCTGTCTGACTCTGCACTATTTCCAAATGCCAACAGCCACTTGCATGTTCCAAGTTCAGCCTACCCCAATCTAGTCTCTCGGGTTTCTCAGGGCCAGCTTCCTGCATACATTCTAAATGGATACTGTACTGTTATTACTCCTTCATCCATACCTGTCTTCTTCAAAAATTAATACTAGCAACTTTTCATTCCTGACACTATATTCATCTTGGAGTCAGGCAGAACTGGTTCCAAAGACTGAAGGAGCTACCTCTGCTTTGCAACAGTAACTTTAGCAAACTTCTAAACTTCCTTGAATCTGTTTCCTCATCCTGAAGTTGAAAAATTAAACTGGGGGATGGGTGCAAAATGCCTAGCACACACACAAGCACCGCACACATAAGCACGCATTTCGTGTTATTACTCTTACATTCCTCTAAGGGAAATGAGTAGTTTTCAAAACTCAAGCTGAGCAATAAAATTTAAGAAAAAATGGTGCTAACTTTGGAACACTGAACTGATGTAAATAGCCTCGGAAAAAAATTTAACATTTATTTATTTGTGGTGGGAGGTACACCTTTGTCAGTCAGAGGACAATCTGCGGGAGTCAGTTCTCTCCTTCCACCACGTAGGTCTCAGGACTTGAACACGGGTCTTCAGGCTTGACAGCCTGCTCTGAGACACCTCTAACTGCTGAACCATCTTGCCAGCCCAGCCTGCCCTCAAGTCACCTCAGGTAAGATCAATTAAGTATGTATGTATCTCCTTCCGAAAAGGCTCAGGAAAACTCAGAAACAAATGCTGGAGGTCCGAGACGGGTAACCTAATAGTGAATCCTTTGCCAACAGCCTACCAGCCTCACACCAAACCTGTCACTGAATGAGAAGTTAAAAGGAGACAGCTCTTCAGTTTCGTAAGCCAGACAACATACCCACTAACGTTTTTTTTAAGTGTGTGCTTTCCCTCTGGAACAAGCCAGCCCACTTCTGCAAATTTCATTCTAAGAGAAAGTCCAAATGGGACGGAGACTAGGTCATCCATTTAAAGTCATCCACCGGTATTCTACCCCAGAATGGCTAGTGGAGCGTGCCATCCCAATAGCTAGTCACCACCCATCTACTTGGAGTCCATTCTCCTGCCTGGGGTCCCTGCATTTGGCCTGGGGTTCCCAGCACCTCCATTCTGGGGTCCCTGTCCCCTGCCTGGGGTTCCCAACATCTTCAACCTGGAGTCCCTACCTCCTGCCTGGTGTCTCCATCATCTCCATCCTGGAGTCCCTGCCTCCTGCCTGGTGTCTCCATCATCTCCATCCTGGAGTCCCTGCCTCCTGCCTGGTGTCTCCATCATCTCCATCCTGGAGTCCCTGCCTCCTGCCTGGTGTCTCCATCATCTCCATCCTGGAGTCCCTGCCTCCTGCCTGGGGTCCCCAGCATCTCCATCCTGGGGTCCCTGCCTCTGGCCTGGGGTTCCCAGCACCTCCATCCTGGGGTCCCTGCCTCCTGCCTGGAGTCCCCAGCATCTCCATTCTGGGGTCCCTGTCCTCTGCCTGGGGTCCCCAGCACCTCCATCCTGGGGTCCCTGCCTCCTGCCTGTCGTTCCTGTCTACTCCCGCGGGTCTCCCGAGTCGCCATCCCCGCGGGTCCTACCTACCACTAGCCGCACCCAGCCGCAGTCCGGAGCCCGTGCCCCGCCCCGGTGTCCCTATCCAGGCACTCACCCGGGCAGTAACCTTATAGACCGTGTAGCCCCTGGGGTGTCGCTGGGGCTCGGTGACAGTGTAGAAGCGGGCCAGGTCGGCACTGTGACCCCAAGGAGAGGTCATCCTCCCTCCGCCCCTGACTCCGCCAGCTGGGGAGCATCGGGACGCCCCAGCCACAGCGGACCCCAAGCAGCACACCGCACCACACCGCGACGAGGGGGCGGTGGCTCCTGGGGACTGTCGCGAGGATCTGCTTCCGGATCACCGCCCACACTTCCGGATGGCCCCGTCAGCGTTCGGGAAAGCAGAGGCGCGGGCTGGATTCTCTCGGAGCGGTGGCCTCGGCTGCCCCCCGGGGGGGAGCCGGTCCCGGTCGGTGTGCCGTGCGAGCGTGCGAGCGTGCGAGCGGCCTGGGCCTCCCGCAGCATCCCAGGTGACGGGAGCAGAAGCGTCTGCTCTCCTTCCCTGCTGGCGTCCTTAGGGTACCCGCAGCCACGCCTCCGCTCTGACAGTCGCCCCCGCCACACGCAGGCTCACCCCTGCGACCCACACTCCCAGGACGACGCCTGGTGTGAAATAGTGAGTTGTGGGGAGAGCCTGTCTCAAAACAGACAGAACTCACTCGGCCGCAGGAGCCCGGATAGTCCGCTATACCTAGCAAGACTCTCAAAAAAAAATTTTGTCTTTTGGGTTTTTTTTCTTTGTTTTGTTTCTGGTTTTTGTGTGTGTGCGTGTTTCGAGACAGGGTTTCTCTGTGTAGCCCTGGTTGTCCTGGAATTTGCTCTGTAGATCAGGCTGGACTTGAACTCAGAGAGCCCCCTGCCTCTGCCTCCCGAGTGCTGGGATTAAAGGCGTGTGCTGTCACCACCCAGCTAAAACTTTTGTTTGATTGGGGTTTTGTTTTGTGTTTGTTTTTAACTCTCCTAGATTCTTAAACTCACACTGGGGGTGGGGGAGCACGGAGGGACACTCTCAAAGTCACTACAAAGAGTATCCAGCTTCAAGTGATTGCCATCCCCTGCCTGGCAATTTTTTTTTTTAAAACTTTTTCCTGATCAGAGCCGTCATTCCGCAAAATACTCATTGCAATGCTTTGTCCTTCTCAGTTCTGTATCTCTTTCTTCCCTGGCTCTAACCCCTACAACACGCAATTAGAAGAAAAAGAAAGGGAAAGAGAGGAGAAGAGAGAGACACACACATCCAGAGAGAGGTGAGAGGCAGCACTAGACAGGAAGTTCAGTGGTTAAGAGCCATGTTTGCTTTTCCAGAGGACTGAGTGAGGTTGATTCCCAGCATCCAAGTGGCAGCTCATGACTGCCTGTAACTTCCGGTTCCAGTACACAGGCAGTGTACATACCTAAGTGCAGGCAAGACACCTATACACATAAAAATAAAAATCTTCTTTACAGAAAAAATGGGGGGGGGTGACTTTAGCACTAATTCCTTCGTCTTCTCACATCTCCAGCCTGACAGTCTTGCTCCACTTGGGGGCTGAATCTCACTCTCTCTGACAGAAGGAAAAACATTTTTCAGTAATATCTCTACTCTGCATGTTTAGTCTCTCTACCAGCCTCTACCGGCCTATATAGTCTTTTTTTTTTTAAGTTTATTCCTCTTATGTGTGTGAATGTTTTACCTGCTTGCATGTATGTTCACCACATGCATACCTGGTACCCACAGAGATCAGATCCCCTGGAACTGAAGTTAAGGATGGCTGTGAACCACCATGTGAGTTCTGGAAGCAAACCCAGGTCCCCTGCAAGAGCACCAAGTGTTCTTAACTGCTGAGTTATCCCTCCAGCTCAAACCTATACCTCCCTAAAACTGCCGGTCACTTATTCATTAACTGAATTCACCGCCTACGGTGTGCCAGATGTTATGCTAATTAAGCGTTGGAATTACAAAGATCGCCCCTCTCTCTCTACATAGCATGTCGTATGTTACAAAATATACCGGGATAAATATCATAACAGATACCTAGCATGGACTCATACATAGCTTATGAATCCAGAATGGTCAGCTAAGGCCTTCTGTTCAAAGGAGACTGGCTGACACAGAAAGACAGATGGCAGCTAACTGGAAAGAAGGAGCAGAGAGGATCCTCTTGCCTTTCACCCTTCTTCCAATCAACCGCGTGGATGTTGTTTATCGTCCGTCTTTTCCTTTCTTCTGCTCAGTGTAGCTTCAGTACTACATTGACTTGGAAAACACTCCAAGTAAACTTTCGAGTAAATCCCTTCATACCCAGGACTTTCAGCGTTACACATTTATTTCCATAGCTCTTACCTAGCATGTGAGTTCCCATTGTCTCCCCCGCCACCCGCTCCCCTTTTCTACTAGATCCCCAGCACCTCCAAAATTTCAAAATTTTTGATGATGTCTCCTTCCAAGAGCCTTTAATGGTTTGCTCCTCAGTATTTTACCTCTGGTCTTTTGTCAACTCTGGTGGACTCACAAATCTGTGTCTCCATTCAGATCTCTGCCTACATCCAATTGACACTGAAAACATGGCAGATCAAGTCTGAGCTTTTCCTTTGCCCCCCCGTTCCTGTTTCCCCAACTAGTCTTCGTCTCTGTGTCATTACATGATCCAGCTATTGGAAAGCAGTCTTAGAAACTTTCTTCACCAGTGTCTCCAAGTCTGTTTGATTTACCAAAGGCTGCTAGTAAAGTAGAAGAGCAGAGAAAGAAACTCCAGAACTGAGGAGGTGGGTCAGCTGTTCAGAGCACTCACTGCCCCTAGAGAGGACCTAGGTTTGGTTTCCAGCACCCACATGGTGGCTCACTATCATCTGCATGTAACTCCAGTTCCAGCCAATCTGAGGCCGTCTTTGGACATCCTTGGGCACTAAGACATCCATGCAGGCAAAACACGTACATATAAAAATAAGTCTTTTTTAAGAAAAAGAAGATACACATTGAAAACACCGCTGAATAGTCTTTGTAAGAATGGTTTTGTTGTCCTTCATGTTCCACCCTTGGGATGGTTTTGTTATTTTAGGCAATGCTAGGGCTCAAAGGCAGGCATTTCTGCTTGCTAAGCATAGACTCTGCCCCTGACAGCCCAAGAAAAACATCAGGAATAAAGAAGGACCAAGTTTACTGATAGAGTCCAACCCATTAAGAAGACAGACTAATTCTAAATGTATTTGCACCTAATAACAAGCCTTTAAAGTGTGTGAAGCAAAAACACTGAAACTAAAAGAATAGTCAAGTCTTCAACTATATCTAAGGTTTAAAAACCTGTGTTAATAATTTTTATTATGACAGCCTGGTCTGCAGAGAAAACCTCCAAAGCAAAGCAATACAAAGAAACCCTGTCTCTAAAAAACAAAAAAAACAAAAAAAAATTCAAGCTAATTACTGAGGATGTTCAAGACAAAAACTGAGTAACTTCAATGGCATATATCTTATGTGGGACAAAATGTGTTCATGACAAGATGGCTCAGTAGGTAAAGGTGCTGGCTGCCAACAGCACTAGGGAGGCAGGGGTAGGTGGGTTTGTGAGTTTGAGGCCAGCCTCATCTACAGAGCAAGTTCCAGGACAGCAAGGGCTACACAGGGAAAGCCTGTCTCAAAATAATAATAATAATAATAATAATAACAACAACAACAACAATACAGAAGTCCCCCACCCCACAGAAGTGTTATGTTCTAAGTGAGTGTCTCAGTCACTTCATTGCAGTGAAGAGACACCATGAGCAAGGTAACTTCATAGGAGAAAGAGTTTATTAGGGCTCACAGTTTTAGAGTGTTGTGGGATATTTAATTGTACACTGTGTGAAAATGTATTGCTGTGATTGGTGTAATTAAAAGCCGAATGGCCAATAGCTAGGCAGGAGGTAATAGGCAGAACTAACAGGCAGAGAGAGAAGACATAGGAGATGAATGTAGCTGCTTGAGAGACATCTGTTGGACGTATGGCACAGATCAGAGGTAACTGAGACACAAAAATAAATGGGTCAATTTAAGTTATAAGAACTAGAGGGACAAGCCTAAGCTAAGGCTAAGCTTTAATAATTAATAAGTCTCCATGTCATTATTTGTGAGCTGGAGGCCCAAAGAAAAGCCCATCTACACAGAGGGTTAGAGGCCATGAATAACATGGCAGAACTACAGCAGCAGGCAGGCATGGCACTAAAGCGGTAACTGAGCTCACATCCCGGTCTACACGCACAAGGCAGGGAGACAGCTGACTGGGAAAGGCATGGGCTTCTGAAACCTCAAAACCCAACCCCAGTGACATACCTCCTCCCTCCAACAAGGTCATACCCCATAAGCCTTCTCAAACAGCTCCAACAATTGGGGACCAAGTATTCAAATACGAAAGCCTGTGGAGACCATACTCACCACAGCTGGGTATGATGGTGAATACTTTTAATCCCAGAGATGGATGTGTCTCTTGAGTTCCAAGCCAGGGCCACATACTAAGACCCTGTCTAAAATAAGTAAGTAATAAAATAACCAACAATAAATAAAGTAAAGCTAAAAACAAAACAAAAAATAAAGTATGACCCCCATAAAGGGGTGGGTTAAAATACACACGTGTGATAAAAAAAAAAAAAAACAATGTCTACAAGAAAATAGAGATGATGCTCTTACTAGAGAAAGGTTTTAAACCAGCATAAACAACAGAAACCATGTCTAAATTAACCAAGGCTAAAATCGAAACTAATTCACAGGGCAAGGGAGATGGCTCCTAGCATAAAGGCACTTGCCAGCAAGCCTGATTACCTCAGTTGAATCCCAGGGACCAAACTGATAGAGAACAGACTCCTGCACGTTATCCTCTGCACCACACACAGGCTGTGTCATTCCCACGTGCACACACAAATAAATGTAATTTTTTAAAATGTTAATTAGGGATGGAGAGATGTCTCAGCAGGCAAGTCATTTGCTGCCAAGCCTGACTACCTTAGTTTAATCCTCCAAATCAACAAGGCAAAAGAAGAGAAGCTGCCCTCTGATTCCCACATGGGCTGTGGTACCCTGGTACACACATGGGTGGATGGACAGAAGATAGATAGATAGATAGATAGATAGACAGACAGACAGACAGATAAGACAGTCCATTGGTTAAGAACACTTTTTGGTCTTACAGAAGACCCAGGTTTGGTTCTTGGCACCCACACAGTGACGCATGATCATACTAAACTCCATTTCCAATCAATCTGGCATCCTTTTCTGACCTCTGCAGGCGCAAGACACACAGGATACACATACATACATGCAAGCACAAGCTCACAGGTGAATCAAAAATTTTAAATAATCTTAAAATAAAAACAGCTTCCTAGAGACCCTTTAGAAAACACCGCAGAAGAAATAAAAACACAAGTTATACATAAAAAGTAATATGGGGGAGCTGAAGAGATGGCTCAGTGGTTAAGAGCACTGGATGTTCTTATAGAAGACCTGGGTTCAACTCCCAACAGCCTTATGACAGCTCACCACTGTCTGTAACTCCAGTTCCAGGGATCCTTCAGCCCTCACTCAGACATACATGCAGGCAAAACACCAATGCAAATAAAATAAATAAATAAATCTTAAAAAAGAACAAAAAGTAACATGGTTTCAATGATAACAAAAGTAACATGGTTTCAATGATAACAAAAGTAACATGCTTTCAATGATAACAAAAGTAACATGTTTCAATGATAACAAATGTAACATGGTTTCAATGATAACAAAAGTAACATGGTTTTGGTTTCAATGATAACAAAAGTAACATGGTTTCAATACATAAAGGGTTGTAAGGTATTCATATTTTAGCATCTCAAGAATGGGTGCCGTCTTAAGAAAAGAAGCATAAGTTCTAACATTCTACAGAACAATAGGGTAGCTATAGTTAGTAATAATTCCTCGGATATTTCAGAATATCTAGAGAAAAATGTCTTAAATGTTCTTCAACAAAGAAATAAATATTCTATGTGATGGATATGTTAATTATTCTAACCTAATTACTGCAGCTGGATCTGTGTACCAAATACAAGATAAATAAGTATATGGATCTGCAAATTAAAACTTTGTAAGTAAAATAAATAAACGTGGAAAAACGGGTGTTGAAAAAATGGGTATTGTGATATTATGCAATAATCTATTTTGAATTATTGATTAATGCAAATTTATCCTGTTCTTTAAGTGAAAATCTGCCACATTTCAGTTACAGAATCATACATATATGTTTATAGCATTCATATGTAATTACAGGTATAAAATTACTTTTGTCTTTTTATTCTTATAAAAAAAGATTTTGGTGATGCAAGGAAAAGCTAAAAGATAAGTATAAAAAAAGAATTTAAGGTGTTGCTCAACTCACCTTACTCAATGACACATATTCTGCACCTCATTTTCCACCTCCAAATCCTGAGAAATATTTGCAGACAGCCTAACATCTCCAGTAAAAATAGCCCAGGTTGTCATGATGATGTAGACACACACACACACACACACACACACACACACACACACACACACACACACAGAACCTTACAGTCTGGCCCCGGAACTTCCCAGTCCTGTCAGAGGCAGGGTCTCTCTATAGTGCCAGATTATCCTCAACTGCCTACAAATCCCAGGCTGGCCTAAATTTGCAATCCTCCTGCCTCTAAGTATGTGCCACTATGACTTCAAACTCACCATGTAGCTGAAAATGACATTGAAATCTTGATTGTCCTACTGCCGCCTGCCAGTGGCTGGAATTGCAGGTGTGTGTGCAAACACACCCAGATTAAAATCTGACCCTCAAAGTCTCTTCATTCACTGTGTGACTTAGAACAAGAAGCATATGTATTTGGTCCTTGTACTTGTTTTCTAGCACACAGAATGAGTTATAATACGAAAGTTAAGCACATTTTTAGTATCTTTCTTTGGCACACAGGTGCTGAAACGTAGACTCTCTTATATGCTAAATATCTTTTTTTTTTCCTGTGGTGTCAGCATAATTTATGTCTGGGAGCTTGGAGATGGGGAACCTACATAGCCAGGGAAAACAACCACATAATTAGACGGTCAGCACATTCAGCCCATTCTCAAACCTCAGGTGAGGTCATGTTCAGGTAAGGAAGTCTTCCTTCTTAGGAGTTTTCTCCAAGGGTGAAGGTCTGGGCAAAGTCTGACTCCCCTCCTAAGGTCCCAATGATAAACTTCATTTTGGTTCTACCAAAATCTCCCCTCCCAACCAGGGAACCAATGAGTTCATTGAGAGTATTTTCTTACAGCATGAGATACCCAGGAGCAGCTGTACTGCAAAGTAGTCACTCAGCATGGGCGAAAGCTTTCCAGTGGATGGCCACAAAGACGCGGCTCCTCCCTAGTCTCTCTGGTCTACACACTCTAACCTCACCCTGTTGCAGAATTGCACACAACTGTTTGGAGGAGTAGCTAGATGCTTAGGCCAGCTCTCACACTCTCCCCACATCTTGTGTGAGGAAGTCCGCACTCACAAGCCCAGCTATAGAGATCTTTACAAGCAGGGCACAGGGGAACTAACTAAGGTGGTGGGAGTTTGGCTCAGAGGATAGTGATGTACAGCATCTCCTTTAACAAAAACCAAAGCCAAAGAAGAGGAAGAACTGGCTGAAGAGCATCTAGACTGCTGAGTACAGGTGGGCCATTGGAAGGGCACAGGCAGGAGAGCACGTAGAAGCCAGTATTCCCATACTGAAAAAGAAATTAGTCTTTGCATAAAAGCCCAGAGTGGTGACCAGAATAAATATAATGTCATATGTACAATACCCCCCCACCCTTTTTTTGAGACACGGTCTCGCTCTGTAGACCAGGCTGGCTTTGGATTCACAGAGATCTGTCTACTTCTACCTCTCGAGGTATGGGATCAAAGACATGCATCACCATGCCCAGCCTAGACTCTGCGTGTGTGTGTGTGTGTGTGTGTGTGTGTGTGTGTGTGTGTGTGTGTAGTTGGAGGCTTTATGCATTCCACCTGGTCCCCATGGACCAGTTTCTCTCTGCCCACCAGGTCCCCAGCTGCTTATAAGATAACCACTTGGCTTACTGGTAATGCCCTGGTATCTTGCCTCCCTGGTGGCTACATGGCATCCCCAACCCCGCCTTCTCTTTCTCTGTCTCTTTGCCTGGCTTTATTACTCTTCTTAGCCATTGGCTGGAACAGCTTCATTCATCAACCAATAAAAGCAACACATATTTGTAAAATACAGAAGGAAATCCCACTATATATATATATATATATATATATATATATATATACAGAGAGAGAGAGTTAGGAGCTAGGTATGGAGGTACAAACTAATCCTGGCATTAGGAAGATGGAGGCAAAATAAAGATAAGCAAATTCAAGGCCAACCTAGGCTACATAATGAGTTCTGAGCTGAAGAGCAATCCCTTATCTCAACAAAGGGAAGAAAGGTTGAAAGGAAAGAGGAAGGAAGTAAATTCTGTCAGAGATAGAAATGAAATCACTATGCCGAGCTTTGGTGGCGCACACCTTTAATCCCAGCACTCGGGAGGCAGAGGCAGACAATCTCTGAGTTCAAGACCAGCCTGGTCTCCGGAGTGAGTGCCAGGACAGCTTCCAAAACTACAGAGAAACCCTGTCTCAAAAAACAAAACAAAACAAAATGAAATCACTATATGGAGCAACGGGAATTTACATACTCTCCTAGTACATGAACAATCAATGGGGAGAGCAAGTTGACAGTGCATCAGGAATAAATTTGTATCCCATATCCTTGGTAACTGCACCCTCAGGAATGGACAAAGAAACACGAAAAATATGAACAATATTTCTAAAAGCATTGATGACAACAGCAAAAACAAAAGCTAGGAAGCACAAATGCATAAGAACAAAATAAAAGATGAATAATTTGTGTTTGGAATGTTATATGCTGAAAATAAGCCATAGGAAAAAAACTTTATTTTTGGCTTTTTGAGACAGGGCTGGGATTAAAGGCATGTGCCGCCACCACCCAGCTTAAACGTTATTATCTTTAGTTATATGTCTGTATATCTGTGTGGTTAGTGACAAACTATATGCTGTGAGTGCCCTTGGAAGCCATATGCATGGATCTCCTGGAGCTGGAATTACAGTTATGAGCTGCCTGATATGGATGCTGAGCACTGGACTCAGGTCCTCTGTGAGAACAAAGAACATTCTTAACTGCCGAGCCATCTCTCCAGCCCCTTATTTTATGTTGTCTTTTGAAGGGCTGGGGGTTGAGCCCGGGACCACCTTGAGCATTCTAGCCAAGTATGCTACTACTGGCCTACATCCCTGGCTCTAGTGTGGTTAAATCTTAAAATCTAGAGTGGCGTGGAGAATGCAAAGTAAGTGGTGGAAAGATACAGGGTGTGGTATCATTTTTATAGCTTTAAAATGTGTAAGCTCACAATACATTGTTTAAAATGTTTGCATTGATGATATACTCCAGAGGGGATAGCACTAGGGCAATAATTGAAGCTGCAGAATGGGCTTGTTCCTGGGGAAGCCAAGTGCTTCAACTGTATCAGTAACATTTTGTTTCTTGAGAGTAGGGCTAATTGAGTGAGTGAACAGATCATGACTGCCAGTGCAGTTAGAATCCCCTGGAATCTAGAGATGGAGCCACACTATCTGAGAAGATGATCTGAACTGGTTAGTAAACTGTAAATGCTGTGTCCCCCTCCTGGCCCTGCTCTCTACAACCAAGGAAGGCTTCATACACTTGGGGCAAAGTCGACTGGTCCTTTCCATCATGCACAGATTTCCTGTCACACCTTGCTTGGCCTGGCACCTCTCCTGCTCACAAACTTGAAAGCTACTTTGCTGGTAATTCTAAGTTCTCCGCTATGGCTCAAAATTCAGATTCTGAGTACAACTTTTCTTTTTGCTACATTTTGATAACTCTAGAATAATTTTTATTTTTTAGATAGGATCTCATATATCCCTGGCTGGCCTTGAACTCCCTATGTAACTTTGAACACTGGATCCTCCTGTTTCCATCTCGGGAATGCTTGGACTGCAGGCATATACTTCCATACCCAGCTCATGTGGCATTGGGGATCAAAACCAGAACTCTGTGCGTGACAGGCAAGCGGTCTACAAACTTGTCTGCATCCCTGGCCCCAATTCAAGTCATAGAGTTGTCAGTGTGGTTCTGTGCTGCTGTCGGATCTGAAAGGTGACTCCACTACCGATGTGGTCCACAGGGGGACACTGATTCATTCCTGTTCCACTCAGTGCCTTCCTTCTGCTCCAGATCAGCCTGGCAATCCCAGGGCAACAGACACTGCTTGGGTCTTCAGGTTTTGACGAGTATCCAAAATACTTCGTTTCAAGGAAAGGCTAGATGAACTGGTTTCATTCGTGTCTATTCCTGTGCTGTCACAACCAAGCCCAGTAACAAGTTCAAGTTCAAGAACTTTTTTTAAAAAATTGAGAATGTCATATGTGCATATAATGTATTAATCAAACCCATCCCCTTCACCTTCTCCAATTCCTCCACTATTCCCTTCAGATTTCATGTGCCTTTTTCTTTTAAACCCTCCAGGTCCACTTACAAGGGTAGGGCCATGTGGAGTATGAGGGATGCATCCCTGAAGAAAACCCACTTTTCGATCTTGCAACAGCCATCAGCTGCCAACGGCTCCTCGGGGGTGAGACGGTCATGTCATCTTCTCCCGTCCATGCTACAATTCTTGTTTTGTTTCCGAGACAGGTTCTCTCTGTGGCTTTGGAGCCTATCCTGGAACTTGCTCTGTAGACCAGGCTGGTCTTGAACTCACAGAGATCATCCTGCCTCTGCCTCCCGAGTGCTGGGATTAAAGGCTGCGCCACCAATGCCCGGCCCATGCTAGAATTTTGTCTGGCCTGATTTTGAGCAGGTCTTGTGCATGCTGAGTCTGTGTGAACAACTGCCCCACTGTGTCTGGAAAACAGTTTCCCTACAGCCAGCCACCACCTCTGCCTCTAGTTGTTCCGCTCCCTCCTGCAACGACCCACAGGCCTTGGGAAGAAGGCGGGAATAAGACTCGGCATTAAATTCTTTCCATGTCTTCATTTATTTTTTATGTGTTTGGTGTTTTGTATGTGATGTCTGTGAACCACATGCATGCCTGGTGTCTACTGAGGTCAGAAGACAGCAACGGATCCCCTGGAACTCAACTCTCCTCATAATTCTCCAACTCGGCATTCCCGGGACGTTTCCACAATTTAACTACTGCAGAAAATATACAGAAGCAACACTCCACTGAATGTAAGGTCTCTCAAAAATCACACAAGGCAAAAACAAACAGAAACAGAACTCCCCAGGAAACGGCTCCGTCGCTCGCTAAGCACCTAGGCGAGCAGCTGGGGTGCCCCGGCTGCTAGTGCCTCTGCCTTGGCCTCCCATGCGTCCTGCGTCCCGACACGCGTGACCCACCACACGCTAACGCTCAGGGGGGTCAACCGCTAAGCCCCACCCCCAGACAGGAAACGTCCCGGGATTCCTGGGAGTTGTAGTTCTTAAAACAGTAGCACCAGTAGTCTCACGAGAAAAGTACGGTGGCCTGTGAGCGTCGCGGGTCCAAGCCACCACCGCAGGCACCGCAGGGAGTGGTCCTGCCCAGCTTCCGTCTCGGTCCGTATTTAAAGTGGCCCGGGCGGACATGGTGGAACTCGCTCTTCTCCGGCGAAACTCACTAACATGTACTTCCTCCTCAAACGCGATGATGAAAACCTGAGGCCCGCCGCGCTACGGGAGCCCCCACGGAACAGTATTTCCTCAACGAGGACACCTGCCTTTCG